GTGTGTGTGTGTGTGTGTGAGAGAGAGAGAGAGAGAGAGAGAGAGAGAGAGAGAGAGAGAGAGTCTCTATGTGGTTATGTGGTCCTGGAACTCTATGTAGACCAGGCTGGCCTTGAACTTGGTGCACACAACCACATTCATCTCTGTAAACTATCTTATGAAATAGAAACTTAGGACCGGAGAGATGGCTCAGTGGTTAAGGGCATGTATTGTTCTTGAAGAGGATCTGGATTTGATTCCCAGCACCCACATCACAGCGACCTGTAACTCCAGCTCCAGATCTGACCCCTCTGACCTCATCAGACATACACACAAGTAAATAATAACAAAATAGTTCTAAAAATTATTCTTTCTGGTCTCCCCACCCCTGCCCTGGCAAATAGCTACTAAAATGCTTGAACTCTGTGTGGTAATGAGAGTCTTATATACGTTGATGCGATGAGATAAAAGGATTGGAAATTTCAGCCTCATTCACCTGAGAGACCAGAGGCAGGTTAGGTTGATACATCTATAGCCAATAATGTCATCAACTAGGGCTACATAATGAAACTTCAAAAGGACTAAGTTAGAGAGGTTTCTGAGTAGCTGAGGAAGCGGGGGCTCCTGGAAGGGGCGCAGAAGCTCTGCGCTCCTCTCACACCCCTGTGAACATCTCTTTCATGGCTTTCCCTATAGCCTTTTGTGGTTGTTTGAGGTAGAACGACCCCCATATGTAGTCAGAAGTTTTCCTGTGTCCCACAGCCACTCAGACAAGTAAACACACAGAGCTTACATTAGTTACAAACCGTATGGCCTAATGGCTCAGGCTTCTTCCTAGCTAGCTCCTGTAACTTAACCCATTTCTATTCATCTATAAGTTGCCACGTGGTCATGGCTTACCAGTACTTTCACATCTTGCTTCTCCTGGCAGCAGCTGGCATCTCCTCTCTGCCTGTGCCTCTCCTTTTACTATCTCTGTCCTAGATTTCCCGCCTGCCTCTAAGCTGCCTTGCCATAGGCCAAAGCAGTCCATTTATTGGCCAATGGAAACAACACATATTCACATCATACGGAAAGATATCCCCCAGCACCCATAGGCTCATATATTTGAATGCTTAGTGTGGTAGTTTGAATGTAATTGGCCTCCATAATCTCATAGCGAATGGCATTATTAGGAGGTGTGGCTTTGTTAGAGTAGGTATAGTCTTGTTGAAGGACGTGTGTCACCATGGGGGTGGGCTTTGAGGTTTCCTACACTCAAGATACCACCCAGTGTCTCAGTCGACTTCCTGTTGCCTGCAAGATGTAGGACTCTTAGATACTTCTCCAGCACCACGTCTGCCTGCATGCTGCCATGCTCCCTGCCATGATTATAATAGACTGAGCCTCTGAAACTGCAAGCAAGCCATCCCAATTAAAAGTTTTGATTTATAAGAGCTACCGTTGTCATGGTGTCTCTTCATAGCAATGAAAACCCTGTCTAAGACACTTAATCATCAGGGAGTGGTGCTACTTGGGAAGGATTAGGAGGCATGGCCTTGTTGGAGAAAGTGTGTCACTGGGGTTGGGCTTTGAGGTTTCAAAAGCCCAAGCCAGGCCTGGTGTCACAGTTTCTCTCTCTGCCTATGAGAACAGTGGGCTCTCAGCACCTGCTCCAGCACCTGCTCCAGCACCTGCTCCAGCACCTGCTCCAGCACCTGCCTCGATGCCTCCACGCTCCCCACCATGATGATTATGGATGAAACCTCTGGAACTGTAAGCAAGCCCCCGATTAAATGCCTTCTTTTATAAGAGTTGCCTTGGTCATGATGTCCTTTCACAACAATAGAACAATGACCTGGACCTCTTTGTAATATCCTTGATCACAAACAGTATATGTGTTTCTCCAAGTTCTATGAGCTATTCTAGCAAATTAATCAAGTTAAAGGTGAGGCAGGATGGAAAGCTAGAGAAAACTAAAGGATGAAAGCAGGAAAAGGAGCCCTTTACCCCAGGATCTAGGTTGCCTGTTCTGCTGTCTGAGTCAAGAAACTTTAGGTAAAGTTTAGAAAAGGCACAACTCATAAAGCAAAGATCACCTCAGACATAGTGTATTTTCCTAATGATGTCTTAAAAGAGGGGGTCAAAAACAACAAACGAACTCTGCTTACACACGGTTGGAATGTTTATAACCCTGACTTCTAATATTAGTACCCTTCTCCAACCCCCATCTAAACATCTAAATGGTACACCTTAAGGAACTACCTCACATTTGCATTTACACAAGACAGTTCTTTAAGAAAATAAATCTGCACACACACTTTTGCTTATTTTATTTTGCTTAAACTTTAAGCTTTGCTTAATATTTGAACATTGTTGTAAATTACATCTTTTAAAGAATGTAACTAAAGAGCTGGGTAGTGGTGGTGCTCCCCTTTAATCCCAGCACTAGGGCGGCAGAGGCAGGAACACACTGGAGAGACACCTAAGAGCAATGTTCAAAAGCCAATATCCCTTTGGGTGTGTTCTGGTCTTCTCTACATGACTCTGATGATAATAGGAGCAAGGAGCTTGTGAGGCAGCTGGGCGGGGGACCTGAGAAATGAGTACTTCTCCTTCATTTCTCCACAACCAGTTCTGTCTTGGCCAGAAGCCAGAAATGTCCTTAGTTCTGTCGGAAGTTCTGTCTTGGCCAAGGGCCATAAATGACAGAAATGTTTAGGGCTACTGGTTTGT